GTCTAAATATATCTTTTACTTTGTTTGGAGGGGAAATTTTTACTCTCTTTTATCCTCATTATCAATAGCCAAGTAGTGGTGCTTAGTTAATAAAGGGCAAACATTTTATCTTGTTGATCAATTTTAGATATTTGAAGAAAATCAATAAAAACATAAAATTTCATGAATTTTTTAAATTTCAACTTTAATGTAAATAGTTTGTTTTTAACTAAATCAGGAAAGAATTAATATTAAAATAAACACAAAAATAAAAATTAACATGAAAATTGGACCACTAATTTTTTGAATGTTTGAGAAGTAAGATAAACAGGGGATAATATGTACTTTCTCCAATCCTATTTGGTTGTTTAGCTCCTCAACTTTACAGTATAAATTAACTTGTCTTTATATAGCAAATGATAACCAATTGGGAAAAAACCTCCTCAACTTGACAGTATAAATTAACTTGTTTTTATATAGCAAATGATAACCAATTGGGAAAAAAAGTATAATCTAAATGAAAATATTTAATAACAACTATGAATAGAAAAACAATTTCTTTTCAATTGTTGTCTAGGATTTTCTATACAAATTATTTAATCAATCTTAATATAAAAGTAAAAAATAACTAAAATTTACAGGAGAGATTATTTTCAAAATTCTAATAAATAGAGGAAATAAGGTTTAGTATAGTTTTTTTCGGGTACAAAGAGTGAGAGGGAGGCTGACCAGGGGTTCGAACCCTCAACTCAGTAGTACCATTCGAGGGGGCAAGTGGACCCTTGGCACTTGCTCCACTAAACTTACTGTATTTTTTATTATTATTTTGGATTACAAATTAAAAGACAATAATATCTTATTTTTTAATCCATTTTACATGTACAGATGGGGTACATTTGAGGAAGGCCCCTGAAAAATACAATTTGGAAATCATTGCAACTATTATAGAGGTGGGCCTTGGTCTTGGGCAACTCTAAAATTTTTGAAAGGTCTTAATTTGAACTTATATAAAGGTGGGCCGAGCTTGGTGGAATAACATTGTGAAGAATTTGGATTTTGGCCCATCTTCACTCTCCACCGCTAGCTATAGAAGAAAAATACAATTATAGAAAAGCTATTATAAAAAGAGAAAATTGAGAATCAAGAAATTCAGTACTAGAATTTTTTATAAAATTATTTAAATATTTTTAATAACTTTTTATTTTGTGTTAATTTATTTAAAATATTTTAATTTTTTTGTTATTAATCTTGATATTTTAATTGTCACAATATCATAAATTTTCTCAATTCCTTATAATAAAATAACTAACTCTTAATTTTCTTTTGAACATTAGAAAATTAGAAGAAGGGAGATTACATCACAAAACTTTGAACCATATATGATAGCATCTATGGTCTAAAATGTAACCTACCATTGTAGCTACTATGTGAGTGTGAGGGCAAATAACTAACTCTTAAATAATTGTACATAATTTTAAGGAATTTATTTATATAAAAATATTTTTTTTTTGTAATTTGAATTATATTAAATTATAAAATAAAATACATTTAATGGGATGAGAGCTCCAAATATCAACAAACCCACCTCCATTTAGTGCTAAGTGTTGATTAATTCAATACTATATAGATTGCACAACATTTTTTCTTTTCTACAATATGTGAATTACAATCATATTTCTTTTCTTTTCTTTTCTTTTTTGCGGAAAATATCCAAATAACGGAGGGAGAAAATTTTATGAATGCAAAATTATTCCAATTTCTGATCGTTTACACTATCTCAATTAGTGGACATACAAGAAATTGCAGGCTTTTAACCATTTTTCTTGTAAGTTGCTGACATTATACTCAATAATTTTTGGCTTTTAGTTTGATCAGTATAGCCTGTTTGTTCCTTAACCTTCGTAAAATTTCAAAATTTTTTTCTTAAACCACTAGAAATTAATCAATTGATTAATAATTGAAGGAAACCAATAACCAATGAGAATGATCTTTTACCCTTCGAAGTCTTTAAACTATGAAAAAAAAAATGCAGTTTGGATTTTGAAAGTGTCAAAACACCTTTAGTAAAATTTATATAGTAAGAGTATTTTAATACTTTTATAAACCTGACCAAACGAAGTTGTAATCCGGATTTTAAAAAAAAAACACACATTTCTAATGACCGGCCAAGATACTCATAAGTTCAATCTTACAGTACTTCCTCTCTAGTACAACCAAACTTGAAGAAAACGGAACCACTACTCTACCTGTTGTTGAAAGGAGTAATCTTGATAACCAGCCCCGGAAAAACATCATCTGGATCATGGATATGGGGATTCTCTTCAACGATGAAAGGATCCCCGCACTTCTCACTGATACTCTGCAGAGTCTCTCCTTCTCGAACCACATAGATCTCTTCGCACGGTTTCTTCATCGCCATCCTCCCCTGCACCCCACCCACAAACTCCTCTTCACTTGACTCGCAGCAGCTCAGCACCAGCAGCAGCGCCATCAACACAGCACAGTAGCAACAAATCTTCTCCGCCATTGCCATCGACGACGAATGAACTGCTAATGATGATCTCCTCATGTTAATTCGGACAGCAAAACTCTCAGTGATCAAATTAGGATGTTTTGGTGGTGAAGTGAATTGAATTTAAGGTTTTTTTGTGTTTAAGGTGTGGTTGAGTGGGAGCAGAACATGGCGGGAGTTGAAACGGTTCTTTCAATGGGGTAGGTAAATGTCTCAGCGCTCTCATTTCTCAATCCAAGGAAGAAAAAGAGGTAGTTTAACTGCTTTTGTATATGGTAATGAATGGGTTTGGTTTGGAGGGTTTGACTTGATTTTGGATATGTGTCATTTGGTGGAGGGAGTGGACTACTTGAGATTACGCTCAACTCATTTATTAAAAATTTAATTTGGGTATTTATAAAACTGGCAACACAAAAAAATTTAATTTGGGTATTTATAAAACGGCAACAGTCAACACAAACAGTTGGGCAGCCGAATAAAAGTGATGCTGGTTTCTCAACTCTTTGGTATTTTTTTTCATTAAAATAAAAAATTTTTGAATTTGAATTATATGATATGAAAGCAAAGTGAATTAAGAAAAGGAAAAAAATTGACACATCTTATAGAATTGAAATTTTTTTTAAAAAAAGAGACTAATATTATATTAATAGATAGTATTACTAGAATTATTATCACATTTTTAAGTATTAATACTATTATGTAAAAATGTTATTATTTTTAATCTATTTTAGTTGTTACATTTTTATTACACATGATTATAGAAAAATTATTAAAATTTAATACTGTGATTATAATAATTGCTTAATATTGAGGATTTCAAGTTGTTTAAATTTCAAGATGCTTTGAAGTTGAAAAGCACTGTGCATGCAGTTTTGCCAGGAATATTTGACTAAATTGTTTCTTTAATTTGAAGTAAGGATTTTTTAAAATATGTGTAAGTTTTTATCAGGAAATAATTTAGTAAATTGTTTCTTCAATTTTAAGTTAAAGTGCTTTTCGAATGTGCCATTAGTAAAATAAATGTATTTTTTATCAATTAATTTATATAAAAATACATAATTAACTTTTATTTAAGCAACATTATTGTGTGAATAATTTTAATTAATTAATTAATTAAATCAGAACTTTCATATAAATTAATTAATAAAATATATTTATTATATTTTTAACCTTAACACTAAAACTACAAATTAAAAGAACCTCTTAGTAATAGTAGCTTCTACAGGTAGTTTTAATGGGTATTAAAGCAATCATTAGAAGGCCCCAGCAGTTAATCATTTGCTACGGTGAAAATTATTGCTGATGACTATCATTGAAATTTGAAAACAAAAGCGTAATATATTCATTGTTCCTAACTGGAAATATCATTACAATTGGAGGCACCATTGAAAGGAGAGGGACAGGAAAGCAAACAAGTTAGCAAGAGCACGACAAACATTTATGGTGTCAATTGAAAATGAAGACAAGTTATTAGTTACAAGCTACTCATAGATTTTAGTTACCTATTTATTTATTTTTTTAAAAAAGGGGGAAATTATTACATTGATTGAGAGCAATGAATGATATTGCCTTGATTTGAATCCAGAATCTGTAAGTGAGGAAATCTTTGGGCGTATTTGGTTTAGGCATTC